CGTAATACTAGTCACGTGACCTCGCTGACGCAACACTGCCCCTCCTTAATATTGTTCGTCCCGAACAATAGCCACTTACAATAAACCAATAACTTAATTAAATGTACAGAAATTAAATCTGCTTCATATGGGGTTCATCTGCTTCATCAGGAAATGTCCTATCGTCGGTAACAGACACATCAGTGGTAGTAACTTCATCAAGAGCTTCACCGTTTCCCTTCTCAAAACTGAGTAAAGTTTCTTCTTCGATGGTGGTTTCTTCAGGTGACACTTCTTCAGCAGTGTCATTTGTTCCTTTGTTCACTTCGTCCAAACTGAAATGTCCTGGACCGTGATAATGCCAAAGCTTGTTGGCATGCACCACTTTTGGCTTACCTCGCCGACCACATTTGATTCGGAAAGTCACGTCTGAGAGACGATCCATTGTGACATATGGACCTTCCCATGGAGAAGACAACTTAGGAGACTTCCCTTTGGTCTTCCTGGGATTATACAACCCACCTTGTCTCCTGGTTCAAAGCTGACTTCAGTAGAGCTCTTATCATAAGATAACTTTATCGAATCAGCAGACGTTTTCAAGTTTGAACGCACTTGATGGTGAATATCATCCATCCTTTCCGATAACACTTTCACAAACGCTGACACATTTTCAGGCAACTCTTCATAAGGTGGGCGTCCTGTTAACAGATCCACTGGCAACCGAAGTTCCCGGCCAAACATCAACTTTGCTGGAGTGTATCCAGTGGTTTCATGTTCTGCTGTCCTATAGGCCATCAACAGTGGAGGGAGTAAGACATCCCAGTCATCTTGGCGGCTATTACAAAACTTCGTATGACATACGAAACCTGAAGAAGAAATCACTAATAGCCGAAGCTACAGTTGTAGCTTCCTGATTTGGCATTGCATATGCCTCCGGCCACTTGGTGAAATAATCCATCACCACACAAATGTACCTGTTTCCAGCACGAGTTTGGGGCAACGGACCAGCAATTTCAACGGCTACTCTTTCCATTGGTGCGTCAACTTGATATAAATTCATTGGAGCACGTCCCTTATGCTTGGGTCCCCTTTTAGCACAACATGTACTGCAGATCCTGCACCATTCTTCCACATTTTGTCTCATACCTATCCTGTATAATCTCTGTCGTAGGTGACTCAATGTCTTCTTAACTCCGAGATGTCCTCCTGTTAAAGTATCATGGGATTGACGCAGCACAACTTCCCGTTACTTTCTCGGTATAACTGTTTGCCAGGTCGTTTACTTTCCCATCTGCAGTTTCCTATCTCCTGACAAGAATACCATCTTCAAGCTTCAACTGGTCCCCGGAAATGCCGACGGACTGAGCCGAAAACCCTGCAGAAATGACTTCAGACATTACAGCAAAAGAGAGGTTGAACTAACCAGGTGCCATCAAACTGAAGTCAAAGTGACTGAAGGAGTTAATGATGGTGAAGTGGAACCAGGTATAGATATTAAAGCAGAGCAGGAGAAAAACCAAGATTTGATGCCAATAATTGATTTTCTACAAGCTAGTGTTTTGCACCCTGCTTGGGAGAAGGTATGTGGCTTAAGCTCTGTGACAAAGAACTATTGGGCACAATGAGTGAGATTTTTCTTCTCTATATTCAATATCATAGTTATACTGGTCTATCTTTCCGATCCAACATGCCAGTTGTCCTTCTGGGTTCTTTAATGATCTTAACCAGCGTAATGCAGCATGGTCTGTAAGTACTACATTTATTCTTTTCAATAAAACTGTTGCGCTGTAATTATGTTTCACTAACGAAAATATCTTTTTTTCGTAAAAACTTAAAATAACTAATAATTTTAAACTCTTTACGAAAGTACTCACAATCTCTAACGTAAACAACCTTTTGGCAATAATGCGCATGCGTATGACGTAAGTGAAATAATCGTCTAAAACTCAAAATTCTGTCCTGTTTGTCATATCCTTATCTTAAATTAAGATATTTTAGGCAATATTCCTGCTATTTTATTATTATCATTATTATAGGAATTTGGTATTATTTTATTTCGTTTAATGAAGCTTGTTTTGTTTGTGTACTTGTTTTTAATCAAAGATACTGTACTTATACTAACTTTAACTTCTGTCTTTCAGTCTCACACTGTGTTATTGTTAGTCGTTTAGTTAGATCTGACGAAGAGCGCATGCTCGAAACGTCATCCTTCTTTAAATAAAAATGTATAAAACTTTGCGATTGTTCAACCTATTATTTAATTTTGATATTTTCGTCGCCTATGTGGTTTTAACACATTAATCGTTTAGTTAGTGTTAACTTCGAGTTTGAAATTTGAGTCACGTGATCGAAAGTAGTTCAAACATGGTTTCTAGTTGCATTTGAGATTATTTAGGGAGGAAAAGTCATTGTGACTGAGCTCCGTGATAATCACGTGGCTTTAAATCTCTCTCTATCGAACGTCTAGAATAAAAACATAGCATATAACAATTCGTTAATTTGAACTCGCATGCACTAAGTTAGAACCAATAACAAGTAAATATCATTTCAGTACTTTGTGTGGGTTTCACACAGAATATTGGATATTCTTTTTATTTTTGCTTATAATCCAGTTGTTTCATGTTTATGTTTAGTTTCTAAGCCAACTTTTTGAAAATTAGTATAACAAATAAGAACCATTTGTCAGGAACAGACATTTCATGACATTAGTTGCGCATATTTGGAATATTTATCAGTTATTTTTTCTCCCCATCGAAAGTTAATCTCAAGCGAGTAAAACGGCAAAGGTAAAACAGTATTTTCCCAAAAAAGAGAAGAAAAAACATCGATTAGTGAATACGTTCACCAATCAATACACAACGAACTATGTATAACTTCTGCAGTGAAAACAAGTTGGACTTACTTTCAGATTTTAAGAATTGTTAAATATCATTATTAGGAAGATTAAACACGTGAGTAAAATTCAAAAGGAATATCCTTTTATTGATATATTTTTACAAGTTGATTTTTTGTTTTGTTCTAAGTAGGTAGCTTCCTCAAATTGGAAGTTAATATTAAATGTAAGAGAGAAATCTATAGGTATGATTTTACTGCTATCAGTATGAAAGATTTCTGTACTATTTAAAGCAGCAAGATATAACTTAAAGACGTGAAATCATTTAGTTTCTTATGAAAGTTATATATATAACTTATAGGCATGTAATCATTTAGCTTACAAAAATTATATGTTTAACGTAAAGACGTGTAATATTTTAGTTTCTTACGAAAGTTTTTACCTATAACTCAAAGACGTGTAATATTTTAGCTTCTTACGAAAGTTATATATATATAACTTATAGACACGTAATCATTTAGCTTACAAAAATTACATGTTTAACGTAAATACGTGTAATATTTTAGCTTCATACGAAAGTTACATGTATAATTTAAATTTAATATCTTAGCTTCTTACGAAGGTTACATGATTCACTTAAAGACGTGCAATACTTTAGTTTCTTATGAAAGTTATGTATATATATAACTTAAAGGCATGTAATATTTTAGCTTCTTAAGAACACCAGCACAAACTGATACACACAGCAATGTGCCTTGTATTTCTTCAAGTCCTGCACATGTTCAAATGAAAATGTACAAAACGAACCGTCTCATGTTACTCAAGCTTACGCAAAACTAGCCCAGAATAAGATTGGCGCAACATTAACACGAACCATTTTTATTCGCATGGACATTTAATTCATGCACTAACCTAAAATTTTGTGTGTATTGCTGGTGTTAATATTGCCTTTCAGACAGTGATGTGTTAAATTAATGACTGAAAATACGTCTAGCTAAATTAAACACTGATGTTATAGTTTATCTGTAGTTTCTGTTCGCTTTTAATCAAATAATCAAACTAATAAGAAATTTACAGTTATGAGTCTTCTCCTGAAATTTCATTATAATGCAAGTGACGACACAATTATATTAGAAATTTACCAAAAACTACAAAGCAAAACTATATTTTATTTTCTGTCGACTTCGTCTGCACTGCTGAAAACTACATTACAAAATACAGTATACGTTCATTGCAACCATTGAAACGCTTATTATTGTGAGATATTACAAACAACCATGTCCAGAACTCTAGCACAAGACACCATAAATTTTACTGCAACAGACTGACACTTGTTACTAATAAATCTATAGTCTAATCGTACAGAATCTGTAATAATATTTAATTTTGCAGTCTCTACGCTGTAAGAAAATTCACTGTTAATTTATGGTAAAAAAGACTGGCAGCCGACTACCAGACCTTTTACCATAAAAATAAGTTCAGAACCTTAAACTAATTCACGGTGTCTTCTGTTAAGTTGACAGCAATCCACCATTAAATTTTACTAAAATAACTGTTTTAGTCTGTAGTTTGAGTATTTATTACGGTTATTCTATAAAGAAATATCCTTAAATCAACAATTGTTCCATATAAAATAAGTGTTTTTCCCTGTCATTCCACAAAGAAGTACTTTTAGATTAATGTGTAATCCTCATAAACTATATTTTTATGCGTGTATTTCTAGTGTGTTTTTTTACACAAATTAAAGTCATTCTACAAATAAACACTTTTAAAGTAATGGTTAATCAACATAAGATCTTCTTTTTTTTGCCATGTATTTCGATTGTTTGTCAGTGTCATTCAAAAAGAAACATTTTATAATTATTTTTGATCTACACTAAATATATTTTCATGCATGTATTTCTAGTGTTTTTTGACGGTAAATCTAAAAAGAAATATTTTAAAACTAATGGTTAATCCACATACAATAGTTTTATTATATATTTCAAGGCTTTCTTTTGCTCATTATTATTTGTTTATTTATTTTTACAATTCCACACAGAAACACTTATATAAATTTGGACCATTCCAGCTGCCTAGTCAGGGTGGGAGCGCTTACCCTTAGTAGGGAGAATACAACTGTTTATAAAAATAAAAGTTTGAGTATCGTACTTCACCGTTTTGTTGACAAATTATTTTTTAAATAGTTGTCACATTAAATTCAGGGAATATGGCAGTATTTTGAAAATAAGTTCTGTAGAATAAAAAAATAAATGCGGATAATTTCAATAAAATCAAAAGACAGATATATTTTTCATAGTATTTTTCACGTTCTTTTAATAATGTTATGACAGCGGAAGTCACGTGACGCTAATAACACGTCATGAGCTTCTAGAAAATTCATGTCCCTTCGTGAAGCCTCGAGTGTTTACTAGATTTTCGGTATTCTTGTATATAAGACCGCCAAGAAGTGACGGCAATAATGCAGTTGAATTGCAGACAGAGATAGAGACGGACAGTTGGGTCGAGCGCGTGAGTCGTTCGTTGTGAATTATAGCGTTTGTTTAAGTTATAGGGTGACCGTGGAAATTAAGTGAATTTCAAAGTTGTATTGAGAAAGAATAAACTAGTTTTATTTAAGAAAGGACTTGTGTCGCTAAAGTTTCTTCGGAAAGAATTTTTACGGAAAATTAACTAACGACCAGAGACGTAACAATATTTTTAATCATACTTATAAATATGGTTTTTGACATTGAAAAATAACGGCTAATTGCATGTATTTTTACGGGATTTTTTAACCTATCTAAGATATGAAATTCTACAAGTTTTTTTTTACACCAACTAACCTCTTCAGATACTTACTGAAAACTAAAAACAACCTGATTCCAAATTTTAATGTTAACCGTAATTTTGATTTTACATATGTTAACAATACGCTTAACTGTGACCTGACCAACACTTATTGGACTATATAGCAATGTTACTTCTCTTTTGAACTATTACCTTTTCTTTTCTACTAACTTAAGAACATCTGTTATTTCTTACTTCGCTAGTTTAAGAACAACTGCTAACACCTACTTCAGTGGTTTAACAACACTAATTCTTTCTTACTTCACTAGTTTAAGAATACTTGTTAAAACCTATTTTAGCAGCTTAACAACACCTATTATTTCCTTTAACACCTGTTTTTCTAGCCATATTTAGATCCTAAGCCTCCCTGATTTTGTTTCATTTAATTAACAAACACCTATGAACCTGTTATTAACTTATTTAATGACAGGTATTAATCTTTAGTAGTTTTCCAAAAAAAAATACATACCTTATCTGAAACATCATGTCCTATACAGAAACATACCGCATTCACTAATACTAACAGATTAGGTATAGCCGAACAATACACGTTGTAATATTTTTGTTTTAAAAATACTGTTTCTGTTACTTGTAACAGTTTTAAAATACGTCTGCATCGGTACTTTTCTTATCTTAGAACGTTATACTGAATATCTTAATTTTTGTTTTCTTTATTTACAGCTCTGTTTTTATCAACGTCAGTTTGCTCATTTATCCCTACCTGTTTTCAACAACTTAGCGCCCCCATCGGGTAGATGATGCATCATTATTATGTGAAGGAGGATAAGTATGGCGGTAATCATGGCTGAGATAATGCTAAATACAAGGCACAAAGTTACTACAGCGTAGTTATCCCGTTGTGTTCGCCTGGAAGGATTCACACCCCAGAAGATGGCGATCCCGATTGCCCCAGCGATGAGCGAGAATAAGCACTGAAGGTCCCACAAGCGAAGAAATTTATCCACAACCAACTGTCCATCTTGAAGAACAATCAAGACAGTAAAGAGGATTTCAGGCAAAGCACATGATGTTAATCCAAAACTTGACAATAAAGTAAGACGATAATACCACGGAACGTGAACTTCTCGCATCCTTGTTCGTATCTAAGAAACTTGCAACTCTGGTCACATTACGTGAGGCAAGGCAGGGAGGATCGTGATCGCCTTGACATAGCTGCACTAACTCAGTGGCGCCACTTCGTAACGACCTTGAAAATTGAGAAACATTTCTGTGAGTTCAGTAACTTCTCATAAGAAACGCGAAAGTTATTTTCAAGAATTGTTGGGACTAAGTAATGGTTAAAACAGATTGCCCCAGTTTTATCACCATATCAACCCCAAAACGTGCTCCAAACATATTTTTCTAATCAAACTTTATATGACTTCTCTGTATATAGGGTTGAATTTCCAGAATCTGTACTCTTTCATATCTTGACTTCGATAGAAAAGCTGGTATAACTTAGCACTTCAAGACGTGGTGTTTCTCCTGTAAGAGACTGTTGATTTATTCTAATTATTAAGTTATATTTAATAGTTTATGTTTGTGACCTTATACCAAAGCATCGTAAAACTAACCCATATGGTTGACATACACATGAACAGTTCACGAAAACCCCAAATTGTGCTTTCCTAGTTGAAAAATTGAGCAAAAGATAATCTTTGCACCAAATCAAATGTAAATTGGTCAAAATACGCCGAGTAATTGACCAAAACCCCCAAAATTATGCTTTTTATGAGCTCTTACCCCCCTATAAAGACCCAAAATGGACAAATCTAACTTTATATCAGTGTATTGGGCGCATGAAAACTTATATATGTGCCTATCTTCATCTTGATTGCTGTAAACATTACCGCACAGGAGCCCAAAATATACATTTTGGGATTGTTTTACCTTTGACCCAATAAAACCATTAAAAAGGCCTAAATTTAATATAAATATATATGTATATATATATATTTATAAGGGTGTCTGGGCGTATTTGACCAAGATATAATCCTACCAAGTTTCAAATCAATCCCCTAGAAATGAAAATATGGCGGTCGATTGAAAAATGGTTGGTAGAAGAAGAAGAAACAATATGCGGAGACATAAATATTCATAGGATTTGAACTTCTTAGTTGATGGTTGTAAACCCAGAAATAAGGAGAATAATCCTTTCTGTTGTTGTGTATGCCATTATTTTGAAGGTCAGCCACAACATAGGCCAAATGTTTTATTTGAAAGGTCAAAGACACAACAAAAGTAATATCTTTGTAATTTTAAAACCACTTTAAGGTTCTTGGCACACAATAGTCTGATTTTTATGAAAAATATTGGTTAAAAATAAGATTAATTTGAACAGTTATGAGACTTCCTTCCGGATTTCATGAAAATTTTATCCAATGCCAACAACATGTAAGTTTTATTCTAGGTAAATATGAGGACGACACTTTTTTTTTAATTTTCCTATTTCTTTCTAGTTTAAAAATAAAAAAAATAGCGACTCTTTCGTGGTGTCAATCTACCTTTTGTCAGTTTCCTAAAAACTTATCATTTTATTCAATCTACTCGTATGATTGTTTATAACATTCCCAATTCAGGTTATCTATAAGGTTTGGTTGTTTGTTTGAAGTTAAGCACAAAGCTACACAATGGGCTATCTGTGCTCTACCCACAACCGGTATCGAAACTCGGTTTCTAGCGTTGTAAGTCCGCAGACATACCGCTGTGCCACTGGGGGGCTATCTATAAGGGAACCAAAATAATTCGCAATAACCGACTTACGATGTTAAAATCCGAGGTTTGAATCTCTATTGTGTAGCTTTGCGCTGAAGAAACAGAAACACCAAAATAATAACCACGAATCCGAATCGAATGTCACTAAAAAAGCATTGCTTATTTTCAAACTTATATAAAACAGGAAAATTCAAAATGGTGTCGTTCTTATTTATTTCTTTATTATCATTTGAGCTGTATTTTGAACCTTTCATATATATGCATAGCGCTTCGTGATTATTAAATACTCTTTTTTATTTAATGCCAATGGCAAAAGTAATACCTAATCAAAGCTTAAGTGTCCAGAAATCGTAATCAATATCATTGATGAAATATTGGAAATTAAAGTGAGCTTTAGATTCGGACGTTTTAAGTTAATGATTTGGTGGAATGTTAAAACCCAATAAAATGCGTGAAAATAAATGAAAGTTGTAAAATATTTGTTATTTACTCTCATCAGCACTGGATTAACAACTTCAAACATGGATATATGATCATACACTTTACATTATTTTTGGAATAGAAAAAAATAAGTTAAATTGTCCCCCATAAACAACAGACGTTTATACTGACTTAGTGTAATCGTCCAAACAAACACAGTTCTACAAGTGAAGCAAAATATGACTGGGCTTGCAAGAATTTTTCATTGTGTTTAAGACCAAATTTTTTAATTATTCTGCTTTGTTTAATTTAAGCATCCTGTGCAATTTAGTTGCATAAATAGATTTTAGGTTTCACTTACCCATTGATTGTTGTTGTTTAGGTATTACTCAAAATGCATTGTAAAGCTATATGACAAAGGACCAAACCACAAGACTCTACTTAATTTAAGGGTTAGCAAGAGAGGATGTATGTGGGTTGAGATATTGAGAAATGTCGCTGTCACAAGCAGTATATATTATATCATAATACATGCGTCATGCACCCTTGTGCTGTCCTTTGAAATTCAAGAATATATATGACAACAACACGTGCAGATCAAGTGATTAACTTCTTTCCTTGACACAGATCGTGTACAAATTCCGTAAACGTACTTCGTACAGCTTGTGAGTGCTGTGGTCATGTGAAGCTACCAGTAATCCAATATTCGTCCCACGTATCGATTTCTTCTGCCTTTTAAATCGCCGCTAATAAACTCTGATCGTCGGATTGATTGATTCTTATTACTTAATCAAGAAATGAAACAAGTTCCATATAATCTTGTAAAGTATTACCAACGGTGATAATCGTGTTTAAAATAATTTTAACTTTCAAGGCCCAGACAAAAATATTTCCAAAGCACTATATATACTGAATGTCCTCGGCAGGTCTGATGGCTTACACCGTTACAATTTGGGTTTCGATACTCGCGGTGAGAAGAACACAGATAGCTCATTATGTAGCTTTATGCTTAACAAATAAACAAACAATATACACTGAAATGAAAATATATTATTTCTCCTAGCGCTTTTGAAAATGAAACAAACATTAAACAAATTATATCCAGTGATATTTAAAATAAGTAGCTTTAAAACTATAAATGAATATCTATTATAGGATATTAAAACAAATTTATCATAATCATGTAAACATGTATTTCAAATGTATTGTTACGTCTCCGTTCGTTAGTTAATTTTCCGTATAATTTCTTCCCGAAGAAACTTTACCGATACAAGTCCTTTCTTAAATAAAACTGGTTTATTCTTTCTGAATACAACTTTGCGATACACTTAATTTCAACAGTCGCGGTATAACAAACGCTATAATTTACGACGAACGTCTCACGTGCTCAGTTCAACAATACTCTGTCAGCACACATTCAATTACTCATTACCTTACCTCGCCTCAGTTCTTACTGGTTTATATATACAAGACTACACTATATCTAGAAGGATCCCGAGATTTAAGGAAAGGACGTGAATGTTCGAAAAGGACGTGGCGTGATACTAGTCACGTGACCTCTGCTGACGCAACAGTATATATTGTGACACCAAACATGAAAAAAATAAAACATTTTTTTCTTGTGAAAGTTTATTTGCCGGATATTGTACACTTCAAAATAATAATAACTATGAACTTTAGAACAAGCTTTAAGATAAAACAAAAACATCTATTACGAATTATGATAGCAAGTATAAAAAGACTGACGGATAAAAATAGATAAATGACCACTATCAAACATTATTGTTTCCCATACTTTTAAATGATATAATACATCAAATAGTTTGAACCTATTTTGTTGTTGTTGTTGATAATTCAATAGATAGTGAGCAGATGCCCGGGGATGGTAAAGTTGCTAATGTTACTCAATTTTTTCAAGGGGTGATAAGAGATGCCTTAGAAATTAGAGGCCTGTTAGTCTTACTTCTGAAGTTGGAAAATTTTAGAGTCTGATATAATAAGCCTTACAAAATAACTCAATGAAATACGATATAAAAGAGAACAAACATGTATTCACGAAAATTTAATCTTGTCTTTCTAATCTGATAACGTTTTTGGTGATGTTATTCTTTATCTAGATAACATAGGTTCAATTAGATTTTCAAAAGGCGCCACACATAAAGTCATCTAAAAGATAATCACATTGGTGGGGTTGGGGAAAGACTTAACTGATTGGACTGTAGGATGGTTGAATGAGAGCAAAAACTAAAGGTTATTAATGGAGTCGAATCAGACTGAATCTTTGTAACTAGTGGTGTTCCTCAAAGGTTAGTACTTGGACCTTTATTTTTTCTTATTTATTTTAACGACATTGTTCGACTAATTTGATTAGTACAGTGTACTGTCAAAATTGTATACCACCAAACATGCTCGCCCTTTCAGCCGT